AAAATGTAGGTTTTCCAGGAAAGAAAAAAAAAAAAGAAAAAAGAAAAAAAAAAGAAAAAAAAAAGAAATTAAAGAATAATTATTAAAAAAGAAATACACATCAGTAAACTGTTAAGTGAACAGCCTCCTCCACAATCCAGCTGGTCGAAAAGCCAGCACTGCTGCTAATAAATTAGAGGGTGCGGGTGCAGCTCTTGCCCACAAGTCTCTATACAACAGGAAACCTTTTCTAAACGTTCACAGCTCTTGCCAGGTCTCAGACAGTCACTGGGGGATTCCCTCTGCCCTCCGGGTACCTGCCTCTCACTGATCCTGCATCTGCTGCTGCATCTTCTGCAGCATCTCTTGCATCCGCCGTAACTGCAGGAGACACAGAAGAGACAGTCAGGAAGGGACCTGTGCATCCACACTGGGGCAGCCCCTTGGAGCTGACAGAGGAGTGATAACTCCTGCCAGAGCACAGAGGCAACTGTGGCTGGGGTGGAATGGAGCTGTTCCCCCCACAGGTAAAACCACAGCTTTCACACCCTGTTCCCCACCCCACGAGCCCATGATGGTGGGGCACAGGAGTGGGAAGCCTCAAGACAGCCTCTGTGGGSCAATCCTAGAGAAACTCCTTGGATTGCTGCTCCAGCACCCAGGAGGCACAGGCAGAAATGGCACTCACCTCCTCATCCTTCATCTTGATCAGCTTCTCTGTCTCAGTGTCCGGTGTTGGGAGAGGCAGGATAGGAATCGGGCTTTCTATCCTGTTGTCCTGAGTCAGCTTGCTAGAGAGATGGACAGAGGGGGGAAGAGCAGTCAGTCGTTGTTCAGGCTGGCTGGCTTTGGTGTCACCACACAATGACTGTCACAGTCAGAGGTGTGGAATGCATTCAGATAGAGAATGAGATCTCCTGTTCAGGAGGTGGGAGGCATGAGGGCTGGGGGGGCCGTGACAGCAAGCAGGGGACACAGGAAGGATCTGATTTTCTTCCAAAAGACAGGAGCTCTCAAGATATGAGGARGGAATATCAGGTAGCTAAAGAAGGCTGGGCTGAAATTGGAACTTCAAGATGCCACTTGCAGGCTTTCACCACTTGGAGTCACCATTGGCTCATAATTGAGACAATTCCAGCCCTGGAGCTTGGGGTCTCCTACCCAAACGACTGTTCTGGTTTTGTGAGACTTGTTCACTGGCAAGAAACTAATCATGGTGTGAAAAACRGTACCAAACTGAAGCTTTCTCCAGGCTTAGCAACTTCTTTTTCACTGTGCTCTTTTAATAGACACACAGCCCACCTAAATAGCAGCTGTGATGCTTCTCACCCCTCTCCAGTATTTAATACAGTTATTTTGGGACTCTATATACTTGCTGCTGAAAAAAACAGGCTCGTCTGCTATGCAAAAGTACTGGGATACACTGTGTGTCAGGAGAATGTGCCAACCTGCACGTCAGCACACATGCAGGACTGCTCCTTGCTGAAGCACAGCCATTCTGCTCTGCAACGTGGCAGCACAGAGCTACCAGCCAGGGCTGGCAGGAAATGAAGGGGATGGTTCACAGCAGAGGAGCCAAGATCTGCTTAAACCAAATTTTTTCACCAGTATATCAGTCATGGAAGTGAGAAGGAAAAATAGAGGTCTCAAATGAGAAGCCTGTGAGTGTTCTCTCTTCTGTTTTCTGATCATTCTAAAAATGACTAAAACCACAGAGAATCAAGCGCAAAGAGAAGACAATGCAGAGAAATCTTTGGTGATGTGTTGTATTACTAATTGCCTGGGCTTTGTCTGAGGAACAGCAGCACCCCGAGGGTCATGTTGTCGTTTGGACATAACTCCAGACCACAGAATGCAYTCCCCTTTGATAATGCATCCCTCACCAGAGAGATGGTCTATCCCGCTTTATTAGGCTGGGTGTATTTCATCCACTACTAGAAATAGCTCTTCAAAAGAATCTCCAGGCCTATTTCCCTAGATGTGCATGGGGAATTCTCAGACAGGAATGTGGATTCTCAGAAGCAATGAGGGGTTCAGGCTGTGGGAAACATGCTTGGATTTGCTATTTTAGTTCCCGGTGCCATTCCTAAGGCTGCAGCCCAGCAAGTCCCCAGTAAATCTACAGCCCCCTGAGCAATGAGCTTGGTGAGAGCAACCCCAGCTCCACAGAGGGTGAGACACCYCGGCCATGAGAGGTGGGGACCCACCTGGTCATTTGCTGGATGCACTGAGCTCGATAGTTCTCATAGTGGACGTCGCAGGTGACGTCCTTCAGGTCRTGCATGTGTGTCCGGATCAGCATGTTCCGCAGCTTCACAAAGTCGCAGTGTGCCTGGTTTTCCACTGTGGAAGCAATAATGGGAAAGTACTTGGCTATCACACCTCACCAGGGGACCCCTTCTCAGCTCCTGGATACCCAGACTGGACTAAAACACTGCCCCAGAGCTCCTTCCTTATCCTCCCCATCACTGCCCTGGTGCAGGTCTCGATGGTGCTCTGCACTTCTCAACACCGAGGCCAGGCTGCCTGTGCTCCCAGGGCTTTTCTGGGTAAAAGGATTAATTAATCATGTACAGCAGAGCCCTGAGAGGATCCCATGTACATGGGATGTCACTGTTATAACCACAGTGAGCACAGCTGGTGCTGGAGGTAAATTGTTTATCTCATCAGAATTTAGGCCTTATCAAAAGGCCCCTGTAGACAAAAGCAGCCCCTGAGGGGCAAAGCCAAGAGCAGGCAATGGAGAGCTGGAAGAGCTGCTGCTGCCATGGGGAGCCTGGCTCCAGACAGYGCTGTGGGAAGCACTGCCTGCTGTGGTGATCTCTGTTTGCCTCTGCAGGGCTGGGGAAAACCAGCTGTGTCAGGCACAGGGTTTCACAGAGCTGATCCCAGTGCCAAATGCCAGCATCCCGACAGGCACAGCCCCCTTTGGAGCACTGAGGGAGCAGAGCCAACAGCTGGGCAGCCCCAGCAGCCAGCACYGGCCTATCAGTGCAAACACAAGCTTTTGGGATCTAAAGCTGCAAGGTCTTAAAGCAACAACCCAGCACAGGGGAATCAGCAGCAGCAGCAAAAGCCATTCCAGGGTTATTCTGCCTAAGGGCTTCATGAAATTCTCCCTTTAGAAAGGAAGAAAGTGGGAGACAAACACTGTGCATCAGCACGGCCTCCAGYCCAGCTATTCCAGCACTTACAGGAGCAGCAGCAGAGGAGGGAATGCAGGGGGTTTATGATTGTTTGGCTGAGGGCAGCAGCCTCTCCCCAGAAATGGGCAATGCCCTCCCCCCTTAACAAGAAGCCATGTCCTAGTGCATGTTAAAGCTCAGGCATTCTTTCATTCACACTGGAACCACTCTTCAGTCTGCAATGGGAGGGTTATTGATATCTCCCCTCCTGAGCCAGCCCCAGTGCCTCTGTCTCTACCCTTGTCCCGTGCCAAAGGTGGCACAGACAGTCCCGGCTCTCCCCTGCCATCCCTGCTGGAAATGCCACTCTGTCCTCGCCCACTCCTGGCTGCCCCTCCTCGCAGTGCTCCCAGCTCCAAGCTTACCTTCCACAATGCCCCAGGGGTAGAGCCGTCCACGGACCCGCTGGCCTTTGGCCTCCACCACAGTGTTACTGCCAATGACAGCAAAGGGAGCGCTCTCCTGGAACGAGAGGCACCGCTGAGCCCAGCTCATGGATCTGCCCATGGATCCCTTCTGCAGGGGCCAAGCTCAGGCACAGGGGAACAGCAGGAGGAAGGCGCTGGTAGGAAAGGCACAGGGACATCCACACGTGCCACAGAGCAGGACAGCACAAACCAGYGCAGAGAAAAGCCTAAGACACTGGGATCTACAGGCAGCCTAGTTCCCAGCCTGACCTCRGCTGTCCTGAGGGAAGCTGTGCCTCTGCAGGTGCCTGCAGCCCTTCAGTGAGGGGAAGCYTTACAAGGAAGCCAGAGCAAAGAGGCTGGGACAYMARACAAGTGGGACAATGTAGGCCAAGWGCAGGAATGTACAGGCTGTGCTCCTCTCTGCTCACAGGGAGTCAAAGCTCATTGCCTTCCTCTGACAGGAGAAACAAGGTCGTACTGGCATGCACACACAGGCTTGGGAGGGAGTCAGGACTGGGCTGCTGGGGCCTCAGATGTGTCTGTATGATCATGTGGTGTCCCCCAGTGCAGCTCATGTGTCACTGTGGTGCCGAATCTCTCACAAATCTCTCCTTGCTGGTGCCATCACCCAGAAAGAGGTGCTCAGAACTGCTGCACAACCCAGCTTGCATCTTAAACATACAGGCTGGGCAGATGGAGCAAAGACTGACACTGCCTGGAGGGAGAGCAGAAGTGCCAGGTCTTCTTGCCACACTTGACTTCATGGCACCAGCAAGGACATGAGCACCTTCTCCAGGCCACCTACCACATGAGGCAAGGCTGCTCCCTGGGCAGCAATAGCACAGGCCTTCAGCACATGCAGGGCAGCTCTGGCTCCCTCTGGGCTGACCCAYATGAGCCTGACTTCCCAGACCCTGCTGAACAGGTTCCTTACCTTCAGCTCTCTGTCTTGCTGCTTGAACTCTTCATCTTCGTCAGAGTCACACTCRGGAAACTGGTACACTTTAATGCCAAATTTGTCGATCTCTTCCCGGATCTGTGTCCATGCAAGATAAAACCAAAAGGATGTAACACTGAACAATACAGAAMTGCTGTGTTTACTCTGTTTGTGCTAGAGCCTACAGATACAGTGTATGTGTATAAATATACACACACAAACATGGTGCACAGACACATTAATACATATATATCTACCTCCCCTCCCTCCTCAGCCTATCCCTGCCACCACATCAGCTGTAACTCTGTAGAGAAAGAGAATCTCACCCTCTCTTTTAGCTTGCGGATCTCAGAGGGTATCAGGCAGTCGGCTTTGGCAATCAGGGGCACAATGTTCACCTTCTCATGCAGAGCCTTCATGAACTCCACATCCACAGGCCTCAGCCTGCAGAGGGATGAGGGGCACTGTTAGCAAATGCACCTGGGCAGCTGCTCCTCCAGCCTCCCTCACCCACCCAGCACAAAGGGAAAAGGACAGCACTGTCACAAGAGCCTGCAGCAGCACTGGGACAGCCCCAGCTAGGGGGCTGTACCTTCAGGAAAGCTGGCTCCAATTTTAGCTGTTGAGTGTCTCATACAGATGCAGCCTGAGTATTTGCTCCCTTGCAGGCCAAATTCTGCCCAGGCCATGGCCTRGGGTCTCCCTCCAGCTGTCCTGTCCCACAGGCAGCCAACACGGCCCCTTCAGCTGCTCCAGGCTAGGCTGACACACGAGCCAGCATGGGGCAGGGACTGAAGGCAGCTTAAACCTCCCCTTCCTACRCATCAGTCAGGCTTAGCTAGATAGGAACGTACAAGCCTGCGTGGCATTATTTCTCCTGATTTCAAATCAGGCTGTAAGGCCTGAGGGAGATGTGCCCTGCCTGTTCACAGGCAGTCTGTCCTGCCAGTGAGGGGAAGGGAGTGCAGTGATGCKCAGCAGAGGGAGAGCATCCAGACAGCTCCTCTCCTGTGCCCACAGCCCTGGCAGGGTAMGAGCTGCCTCAGGGCAATCCTGGGGCACAAGGCTCTTCCCTCTGGACTGAGTCACCCCCAGGGCTGGAATGTGGTGGGCACCCACCCGTGCCCGAAGGGAGAGATGAAGTAGAGGCAGCAATGCACTCGGTTGTCCTGGATGTTCTTCCGGTTCAGGCCRCTCTCATCACGGAAATACTGCTCAAACTGCTGGTCAATGTAGTCAGTGATGGGCTTCCAGCTGGAAAGGGTAATTCAATCAAAAYAAAATCATCAGTAGTGTCTCCTAGTGACTGTGAGGCCAAGGACTTAAAGGAAGGCACTGGTGCACTGCTCACCACTCAGTGTTGTTAACAGCATCTCCAAAGCCTGGTGTGTCCACTATGGTCAGCTTCAGCTTGACACCCTTCTCCTCAATGTCCACCGTGTGCTTGACAATCTCCACTGTCTGGTTGATCCTCTCTTTGAACAGGAACACGTGAGTTAAAGCCAGGCAGTAACACTRGGGATCCCCACTTGCACCCATGACAAACCAGCTCCCCCTTATCATTGAGCACAGGGAGTAACTCAGGTTTCAAAAACCCCAGATTATCCTCTAAGGAGCCTCAAGGGAGTGGTACTGAGGGAGGCCAGCAGMAGGCAGACACTCCAAGAAGATACACAAACCTCTGAAGTGCCTGTGGCCCACCTGCTCTGAACATTCTGTCCAGCCACTCGGGAAGGGGAATCCCTACCACACTCCAGCATCCAAGAACAAAAGAACAAATCTCAATATCTCATCCCAAAGGGCCAGTGCTGTTCTGTAGCCCCATTTTCCCTTCATAGAACAGAAAAGCCCTACAGCAAAAACACTTTTTGCTCAATACTAGTGTCTTTGCAGACACAAAGGAGAGCAGAAGCACAAACAAGAGGGCTGGGATCCAGCCAAGTTTGTAGCTGCTGCTGAAGCAAGAAACCAATCCTTAGGACAGTCCCATTCACCCCACTTTGTCCCCAACTTACCCTCTGCATTGAGGAGCTTTCTGTCTTTGTAGAGGTCTGTCAGGAACAGGCTATTCACCAGCGTGGATTTGCCCAGACCCGACTCTCCTAATTGACAGAGTGCAAAGGGGAGGAGGAAAAAGCAAGCAACATGACCCACTAATTGACTTACAAATGAAACTCTGAACAAGGCTTTGAATCCTGAGCCAGAGGAAGCGAGAGAGACGAGCTGTCAGGAGCTGTTTATTGGCACTGCATTCTTCCAGCAGTGGGAAGACTTTTGCTGCAAGATGTTTCAATCCTTGTACAAATGTGTTCTCCCAGCTCCCCATTCTCCCTCTCCTTCCTTTCCCTCAGTCCCTGTCTGGCCCTGCCTTCACCACCCAGAGCAGTCACTGCTGGAGGAGAAGCTTGCTCGATTGGGTTTTAAGAAGTCAGGAGGGGCCCATTCTGCTTGGGGGAGCTGCCACAGTCTGGGGAGCAAAGCAAGAGCTGAGAAAAGGCCCAGAACAGAGTGAGGGGAGGATCCGGGTGTTATGGGAGACCCTAAGGGAAGCGAGGAGAGCTGGTTCCCTCCACATACCCACCACGTGGCCCAGCCACCTCCATGCACAGCCAGCCTCACCTGCAACCATCAGGGTGAAGTCGAAACCCTTCTTCACGGATTTCCGGTGCACCTGGTTGGGCAGAGTGGCAAAGCCCACGTACTGCTTCTCATGGTCCTGCAGGGCAGAGGGGATGGCAGCAGGTCAGGGTGTGCCACCCCTTTGCTAGAGCCTCACACAGTGACAGGGCACACAGCTCCCCTGGGCTCAGGGGTTTTGCCATTGCCACAGGTGGCCACAGAGGGACATCTGCCAGCCACAGCCCTGCTCGGCTGCTCTGCCAGCAGCTTCCCAGCACAGAGAGCACCAGGGAAAAGGCACATCCCACCCTTCCCACCAGAGAGCACATCCAGGGCTGCTGTGGACAGACAACCTTCCTAATTCTTTGCTTCTTCTGCAGTCACAGGTTCCCTTTACAGCAGCGTCACCAAATGCCACCTCTCCCCAGGTCATTTCAACACCCCTCCCTCCAGAGGCACGTGTGGCACATGATGGAGAGCTCTGTAATTAGCACSCCAGGGCTTGCACTGTCCTGAGCCATGTCTAGAGGAAGGCACAGTGGCTCAGCCTCTGCTTAACCTGAGAGGGGATTATTTCTTGCTGTGTYACAGCCACTCCTGGCTGAATAAGAGGAAATCCTGAGTAATCTCTTGTGTTATTTCTGAAGAGACTGAAGTTCAAGGAGCAAGGGAAGTGGAAAGATGCAGAAATACTGATAACAACTAAGATGATTTTGATGAGGTATCACATGAAGCATTACTGGAGTGCTACCCACCACCCAACCACCCGCAGGCACAGCTCCTTGTCACTGAGTGCTCTCTCACAGCACAGAACCCACAGCCACAAACATGGCACATGCTCTGTACAAGCACACTCAGCCATTCACAAATGCCTGAGCTAGAGACATTATGATAGACTTCACTTTTCAACATCACTGAAAAAATAATCATCCCASTGGGATTCACACCACAGACAAATCCATGGAGTCAGGAGCTTCTCAAAACTGGCCCAGGCTCCTACTCCATGGATGCCTTCAAGCACACAACTGCTCTCACCCATTTTCCAGGCACACAGGGAAGACCTGTGTTCATAAGTTTAACTATTCCTGAGCCACTCAAAGAAACACAAACCATGGTTCAGTGTGCATTAGYTTAGGGCAATGCTGACTTGCACCTATTTCCACACTGAAAGTGGGCAATGATGCTTCCAAGCAGCTCTCTGCAGCTGCACATTCACCTGTGTGAGAGATCCTGGGCATCCTCAGCCAGACTGACTGCAAAGCTCCAGTGGGGACATGGAGCAGGGAACATAGAGTCTCCTCCTCCCAATTTATGGCTGCTCTGGAGCTGCCCACTCAGATGGAACAGATGAGGCTGACGGCCATCGTGGCCCAAACACTCTGTCCTTTAGCACTGTCACTACCTTTTGGAAATTGAGGTTTGGTTTGGGCCTTAAACTTGGTCATTTTAGCCCTGAGTGACTGTGGATTCTGATCTCCCTCACCTCCCACAGCTGAAGCAATGTTGTTTCACCACCCCTCAGTCCAGAAAGGCAGGAAGGGACCAAGAAAAGGAAATTATARAAATGAGGAGAATTAGAGAGTGCCCAAAGTGCTCCACTGGCAGCTGTAATGACTGATCTAAAAGGCAGTGACATCCAGAGCAGCAGTGCAGCGAGCAGCAGCGAGACCCCCGGGTGATAAACGATGGCAGCTCTGATGAGCTGCACGTGGCAAAGCAATGCCTGCCTGGGGACACCACAAACTGCCACCCAAAGGGCTCGGGAAAGGGCAAAAGTGGTGTGCAAAGCAGAGTGAGAGACGTGAGAATGGCAAGGTCACAAAAACAAGGAAGAAAAGGCTGCTTCCAGCCTCTGTCCCTCAGTATCAGGGCTGTCTCCCAGCTGCTTCACTTCCCGGTAAAACACATCCATGAGCACAGCCAAAGTGGACACAGAACAGCCAACACCTCACAGGAAAAGGTCCAGCATTTCCCAGCAAGCACCACAAACATAACTCCCCCTTGTGCTTCTCCTGCCCTGATCTTTAGCAGACTTTGGAAACACAAGGATCACTCACTCTCTCCAGTGACCTGACATGTGAAGTAGTACTAGGAATATGCTAATGAAACTATAGCTGAGGCGTGGGGCGTGTTTCTCTTGTTTTGTTTGGTTTTTAACCTCGATGACTAAGGGCTGACAATAGGGACACTGGGGAGCTGCGCTCTGGTGCAACTCCACTTACTTCTGCCGGGTGTAACTGGCTGAACCTGATCCCTCATTTCTGTTCAGAGAGYGTGGATTTGCTGTACCTCAGGTTGCCTCCCCGCAGCTCTGTGGAATCACGATTTTCAAAATGAGCAAATCCCAGCTGGTGCAGGACACTGCCCTTCACCCATTACTCATGCAGTCATTTCCCTCGCAGAAAGGAAGGTCAGTGCTCAGTGCAACACCAACAGAAGAGCTTCCCTCRCTAAGGGAGGCAGCCAGACCTGGGAGGGGAAAAACTCTCCCCAGCCATGTCTCCCTCWGAGCAACCATGGACACAGTGCAGAGCCAAGAGATGGAAGGTGACTTGTGAGGAGGGATCCCCTTCTTATAACAGCCCTGTCCCAGGAACAGCAGTATGGTCCCTGCTCCAGCCTTGATTTGTTGTTCTTCACCTTCACTTTAAGACACGCTATGGGTGCTCCTATCCCAGCCATATTTGGATGCTGTGACAGGCACGTGTCAGCACCTCTGCCAGCATGGCAACATCAACATGCATTCAAGGAGCCCAAGCAGCCTGGTGTGTGCCATGCTCAAAGCTCTACACCAGTCACCATCTCCAGGTACTCCCTGCAGAGCAACCCTGCACAGGATGGAGAGCACCCAAGGGTGTGTAATAGCCTGGGAGGGCTACTGAAGGAGGCGGGGGTGTTCTGGGTTGTGAAAAGCTAAAATCCATTAATTAAATGAGAGGCTTGGACTGAGAGAGTTCCTAAAGGCATCACAGGGCACTCCCCGTGCTCTTGACCCTCACAAGGCAGGTCCCATCAAGCTGACAAACGCCAGGACAGCTGGTTCCTGTTCTGTGCTTCCCCTGCCAGCTCCAGCTGTCAGGGCAGGGCTCAGCCAGCCGAGCCAGCGGCGCTCTGGCACCAGGAGCCCCTCTCCCAGCGCCTGCTCCATGCTGCTGCCTTTGTTCCCGCTGGCATCCCACTAGCACATGCCTGGGAACGTGCCCCACGCACAGCACAGGCCACCAAGAGCTGGGGCCAATCTGTGGGACCCTGTCACAAACCAAAGCACCCCAGGCCAAGCAAAACACACCCGTACTTTGCTTTGATACACACTYGCTTGTTCACCAGACATTACAACAACATGTCACATCCTCACATCCTCTAATACCCGGCTGAGGTGGCCAGGGCTCCCTGCTAGCCCGTGCTCTCCCTGGGAGTTCAAGCCAGGCAACAAAGTCCTGGTAGGTTCAAGCCCTGTTCCTGTTGGCATAGAAACGTTCAGGATCTGCTGCACAGAGGAGAAGCCACCCTGGTACTGAGTGCAGGGGTCTGTACTTCCAAGGCARGGCACAGCCTCCATCACTCCTGTCCTTCCCAATTCCCTCCTCAGCTCTCTGGTGGATGCGCTGTTCAAGCCAACCCAAATCTCACGTGACTTCACCGCTCAGCCTGGGGATAAAAGGGGCCTTGATGGGTATATTCAAAAGGGCTAAAATTAAACATCACGGGGCCACAGCAAATTTGAAGGAKAGTCCCTCTCAAGGACTGGAGCAAGCTGCAGAAATGATGGAGCTGTGCTAGGTTCCTGGCGCCTCTGCTTCTTCAGGGGGAGGGGACCCTCTCRGTGTCACAGCYTTCAGCACAAGCCATCCATCTCCCTCCCAGGCAGCCCTTCCTCCAGCCTTTCCCCTCCGGCCGAGCCACATCCGCGTCTGCACGAACCAGCACAGCCCTGCCCTGGAGGAGAGGCAGACCCTTTGCTTCCTTTCATTGCAGAAAGCTGCATAAATTCATAACACCAACAGCCCCCGAGGCATCTGCCACGGACATCTGCTCCTCGGGCCTGGGGCTGGGCATAGGACTATCGGCAAAACCACTCGCCCACCAGCATTTGCTGCGGAGAAGGAACCCGGCCAGCAAAGCACAGCATTAATACACTGTTAATTACCACAAATCGGACGGCGTGTGGGCATACACAGCGCTGACTCCTGCCCTGAGCCCCCCCAAGCACGCACACGCCATTCAGACAGGGAATCATCAAATAAACCGCACAAAACCTCGCGCATCTCCCGCTGCCCAGCGCGCCCCGGGCCCCGCGGGGGCTGCTCCCCTCCTGTCGGTGCCGCCGTCCCTCCCTTACCGGCGTCTTTCCGCTCCTCTGCTCCTCAGAGGTCTCATCTTGTGCTGCGCGCGTCTTGTCGGGCACCATCCTCCCCCCTCCTGTCCCCGCTGCTCCCCGGCTCGCACAGTGCTATAAATACATCGCTGTACCTTCAGCTTGCCCGGGTGGCTTCGCTGTGCCTGCGTCCGGGGAGACAGCAGCCGCTCCACTAACCGCTCCTGAATAATGATCGAATCCATAACCGCGGCTGGCAGGACGGACGGACAGACAGCCACCGCGGGCCAAGGGAAAAACCCCAACCCATGTGTTCCCTCCCAGCCTTCGCTAAATCCATGCGGCAGCCCCCCCGCCTACGCGTGCACACACACGCAGGGCTGGCTCGGCTCGCCCCGGTGCCGAGGCGAGGCGAGGARGAGAAGCCGAGAGAGGCGAGGAAAGGCGAGCAGGCTCCCCGGCAGCTGCCCGGGATTTGCTGCCTCCGCCTGTGCCGCGGGAGGAGCCTGCCTGCCAGCGAGGACAGGACAAAGGCCACCGCGGCCGCGGGCCAGGGGCGATGTCGCTCGCCCCGCCAGTGTCCCGCGGAGAGGCTGTGCACGTACCGGATGCTGTCCCTGCCATGAGGCTGCTCCCAGTGACAGATGGGCCTATTCAGCTGCACSGTTTCTTATATGTCCTGCCTGACGCGGCCGAGACAAAGGTTTGCTGGAGGAAACCTGCTCTCAGCAAAAATGTGCGGCTTCTGGCTGTGTGGGTGGAGGTCTCAAGGGTCCAGAAAGCTCCCAAAAGCAAATATAACCCCCAGATCCTCGCCCTGGTTGATGTGGTTCTGTTTCCACGTGGCGTAGGCTGATCTGTTGTCTAGTCCAGGCTCTACTGCAGCCTTGTCTCTGAATTCAATTGGACTAGCAGATGTATTCCAGACSTTACAGCAACCATTCAAGCTCTGAAGACATTTCAGAATAAGGAAGTATCTGTGTGCTCATTAAGCAGATGAACCCAGCCCAACAACAGCCCAGCTATACCAGAAAAGTCATTCAAATCTAAACTCAATAACCCTCTAAATAGGGTTTTGAACCTATCTTTAAGATCTGCCTTCCAGCTTTTCTGTGCAGCCATAGAAACTGAACAGGAATTTATATGAAACAGACAAAAGSTGATAATTTCATATCATCACACCATTCCAGAAACTGGGGGGTTAATACCACAGCATGCATAATGAAGTGACAGGAGGTGACAGCACTGGTGGTGCTGGAGGAACCTGTCCCTTGCCCCACAGGTTCCTGAGCAGCTTTCTGCTCAACAAGGGGAAGGACACAGGCTGCAGCCATACTCCTGTCTCGCTCTCAGACAGAGCTCCTGCTGCTTCTCTGGGATCTGCAGGGCTCCAGCAGTGACTCCACAGAGCTCCTGCTGCTTCTCTGGACCAGCAGGGCCTGCCCTGGTTACCTTTGCCTCAACACAGGGCCTTTACCACCTACCCCAAGCCTGGCTGACACCAGGTTCTGTCATAAAGTACAGAATCAACACAAARTCCAGTGGCCTGAAGTCAGGGAGCAGCTGTGAGTGTGGAAAGGAAAGAAGAGGGGGAAAAAAMMCMAGTGTTTTATTTATGCTGCCATTCTGCAAGCYGACGGAAGGTGATGTCAGAAGTTGCAAACATGAGGTCCTAAAGGCTGATTAAAATATACAGAGAACATTCCCAGAGTAGGAAAACTGCCATACATTAGCTTTCATACCACATGCATGAAACCCTTCTCCAAACCACCCTGCTCTGCCAACAGCATCCTTAATTACACCCACTGAGGYTGGTTCCCAATTGTTTCTGTGTGTAGCAGTCAAGCAGAAGGCCTGGACTGGGATCCAGGTGTGGCAGGAATTGCCACTGCTCAGAACACATCCCTGGTGGGCAGCTCTGCCCTTACCTGCAGCATTACTCCATTCCCCAGGGAGCTGACAGCCCTACACTGACAGACCATGGCACATCAGGCCATGCTCACGACTCCTCTTTTTCCTCCTAGTTTCACCCAATCCTTRCTTTCCAGGACTGAGGGACTCTCCCTTTGGGTCTGCAGCTTGCACACAGCAAGAGGCAGTGATGGCACTGTGCTGCCTGCGCTGGGCACAAACAGCAGTGGCTTGTGACACACCCAAGGTGCATCCAAACCTTCTTGAGATAATGAGGTTTCACCATTCCTTCCACACCATAAACCACAATAGCTGCAAGCAAACCCACTCCAACTCCCATGAATGCTCATGGCTTAGAAAACCCTCGTTTGAGGGCCACAGGCCACATGGTCACCAACCACAAGCATCTTCCAAGGGCAGATGGAGACACGCTGTGTCCCCACGAGCCCACTGCACCAAATCAGAACATTTTTCTGAGCTGGGATCACAGATGAAGTCAACAATGATTTGGTTGCRATAAAACCACAGTGTTGTTCATGGCCCCAGGAGCTGTGCTGACAGTGCAGAGACAAACAAGGAACTACTGTCTCCTGAGTGCCTTGAGCYCTCACACATCACACATGCTCTCAGGACTGGCAGCCAGAGAGGAATTCCAGTCAGAAGGCCATGCCTGACAACTCAGAGAGAGATTAGGAAAAGAAACCCAGAAGAGTAGGTCTTGGCTACAGAGATCATCTTAAGGCTGAGTGGCCAATGCTATGGTTTCCAAAATGTTGAATGACGCTTAACTGGTCCCAGACTCAGCCTCTCCTGTCCCTCCTAGAGATGCTCATCTTGCCTCTTCAGAATCAACAAACCATAAATGACAGAGTCGTTTGTGTCCCTCAGATGTGCCGCATGACACACCCAGAGCTGTTGGCTCAGGCTGGTCAGYGTCCCCAAGACAGCCAAGCCAATCTTGTTTTGTCCCTGTCCTTTCTGATCATACTCCTCTCTCCACACAGCCCCTGGAAATGCCCAGTGTAAATCCTGGCCTGCCCCTCCAACTAAAAATCCAAGGTACAACATCTTTAAAAGAAGAAAAACAGCACACAGGACATCTCATGTGCAGTGTGCAGCAGAGCTCAGCAGAGAAAATCTTGGCACTTCCAAGACCTAGAGCAAAACCAGTGTTTTCTTCCATTGGCACCTCTAAGCTCCTCTCCAGGCAGGCACTTGCAGCAGCAGCTCAGGGTCMAACTGGCTGCAGGATCCAGGTTTCTGAGTGTCAGAGCAGAGCTCTGCCCAGCTCCAACCTGCCAAACGTCATCAAGGGCAACACAGGCTTGGGGTGCACCAAGTCCTTGCCACCTCATGGTCCAGCTCTCCTTTGTCAAACAGTGACAGCAGAGAAGTCCCCGCTTGCAGGGGCAATGTTTTCTGGCAGAGATGCTGTGGCCTAGGAACTGCAGTGCTCAGGCTCCATCCTGAACAACCAGGAGCATATCATRCAAGGAAAAATCTTCAGCCTGACCAGAGAGACACTCCTGAGCAGCACAGAGCCAGGCAAGGGTCCCACCAGGGGTGCACCCAGCCAGCGTGGCCTGCACGGAAGAGTGGTGAAACTGCATATCCGTGGCTTGGCAGGGTCAGCACAGTCACGTAATAACAGCATTTATGTTTTTTCCTCTGAAGAAGACTAAGCTATTTTCAGAATTCCCCACAGAAGGGAAATTTTCTTCCTGGCTGTTTTCTAGGACGAAGGGAAGGGCAGCTCCAGAGAAGCTGTTTGCTCAAGTCAAACAGGAGCAGCAGCAGGCAGCAAACCCATTCCCAGCTTGGACCAGAGTGATGGAGGCTGAGGAACTGCAGAGATCCTCCATGCAGGTGCATAGCTGGGAACCTCTAGGGCTCAGTTACCACCTTCTCCTGCTGCCTCCTCTCCCACTATAAGGRATGTCAGTGCTGACTTCAGGCAGATGAATCTCATGGGTCTGAATTCTGCTGCTCCATCACCAGCAGAGCTGCACACTCACCCTGAGGCTCCTGCTGACCTGATCCAAGGGAAAAARCCTTGCTGATCTAAACTCTGATGAATAATTTAACCTTGAACTTGCAAGTAAGGCTCCATGTAAGTGGCTTCTGGGAGCATCAGAGCCCTGATGCTTTAGCCATGCTTCATCCTGCGATGCTCAGGAAAAAGCAAGATACCAGACCAGAAATGCTAAAGTCTCAAAGCACAGGATTAATCCCCTGTATGTTCAGTGCCACAAGCACAATCCAYACAGCAGCCAGATCTCATATTTTCCTTTACCTACCCCACAGGTCAAACTTTAATTTCCGCTCAAGGATCACTGCTGCTTTGTCACATAATCCCTCCAGAAATCTATCCAATTCCATTTCAAAGGTATTTATGCTCCCCTTGCTTCCACTTGAAGTGCCTCGTGCTTCCCGAGAAGCACTATGTGACTCATGCCGTGCCTCCACTTCCAGCTCTTAAAAAGGACCGACGACCGTAATTTGCCTCCTGCTTGTTAAAACCCGTGACTTGCTCTGGAGCGAGTTCACAGCGCTTCCATTTAGGATAATCTGCAC